CCATCCATCCATCCATCCATCCATCCATCCATCCATCCATCCATCCACCCCCCACCCATACATCTGTCTGTCCTCCCAGCTCCATACTTCTCTTCTGCCACCACACACTTGAAAGTGCAGCACAGTCAGAGCGCAAAATCCCAGGGAAGGAATGTGATTATTCCAAAAACCATTAATTTAAGTAAATGATCATGAGCTCTTTGCTGCTTCCCACCTGATTCATCCCCATCAGAGGCATCCTCTGTGCTCAGCAGCACAACGGGGCTGGGAAATGCAAGTGCTGGGTGGCTTCAATCTCCCTTTTTTTTTTTTTTTCCCAGTTAATTAAATGTAGAACTAATCACATCAAGCACTGTTGTTGTGAGCACCACGTGCTCTCTGGCAGCGTGCAGGCAAATGGAATTCAGAGCACAATCTCACATTTGTGCAGAGTTCCTCAAGCAGAAGGCTATGGAGCAGCAGGCTACTGCACCCTAAATCTGAGAAGTGTGAAGTGGATACTGAGACCCATTATTGGCCATTGCAAAATTTCAGGTGAATCTGGGGTATGGGCAATTCTGTAGTAACAAGTCCAAATGAGTGAAAGCACACTGGGAGTCATTTCCCTGTAAATAAAAGAAAGAAAGGAACCACCAAGCTGTGTCATAGCAAAGCTTCCCTGAAAATCTCAGAGCTCCAGCCCTGGTTCCAGCTAGACTCCAAGCAGCTGCCTGTGACAGTGATGGATAAACACTTCCAGATTGATTGTTTTCCTGTGATGGGATCAAATTGCATGTATGGGGAGTGACTGCAGGCCTTATCTTTTTGGTTCAAATCAATACAAACGCACAGCCTGAGCTTTTTAAAGCTTTTATTAGCAGAAGGGACAAGCAGTGACCTGGGCTTAGCAAAATACTCCAGCACAAATACTTCAGCCTTGGTCCTAAGCACAGCCTTATGTAGCCAGAAGAAATCTGCAAGAAGCCAACAGAGTGAGCAGTGTTGTGTACCATGTGTACCATGAAGGTCTCAGCAGTAAGGTGAGCCAACAGCAGGTTGTTGCCTGAGGGCTGTTAAAGTCCAACCAACATCTGGAACACGAGAGTCCAACTCACAATTTATTCAGCAGTTTTGGGGTCAGAGTAGCCCACGAGCAGGATTCCCACCCCTGCCCGAGAAGAGCATATAACTTCTCTGCATATAAACCACTCTGAGTGGAGACTGTGACTTCTTCCTCAGCAAGCACACAGCTTGGTACCTTTCTTATTACCTACTCCATTACTTTGAGCCCCGTCTACTTCGTCTTGTTTGGCTGCACACTTTTGGCTGGAGAAACTGGGACTATCCTATGAGGTTATGCAGATGAGATTACTCAGAAAGACAAGCAGATGATGGAAGTGTCTCAACACAAGCTGTGGTGTTGTGCCCTGTATGCTAGCTGGCAGAAGAATACACACTTCTGAATGTATATTGTCCTTTCACCAATGGACTGCAATTCAAACAAAAAAAAAAGGACAGCTCTTTAGGTGCTGCCTGAAAGAACTGATGTTCCTCCAGAGGCAGAAAATGCTATCTGTTGCTTAGGAACAATCTTTATTCTACAAAATGACAATGTGTACTCCAAAGACTTCTTTAAATGCACCCAACATCTTGTCCACCCCTATATACACCACAGGGAGACGTCTTTGTGCTGCAAATACAGCACCAGTTCCTGGCATTGTAAGCTGTGATTGGAGATCTAGTGTATGTATATACCCCATTCCCAGCTTTGCTGCACAACCAGTGGTACAGCATGAACATTTCTCCTTGCTCATGAAGCACTCGTATTTGGACAGATTTTGACTGTGTCAGTGTGTGTAGGCATTCCTGAAAACTGAAGCTTATGGAACACTACCATCACACCAATTATATACCCAGTTGTGAATCCAGATATATATACATTGTTCTATTTCAACAAGGCAAGGGAAAGCTGTTTCATTGGCACTGATTCTTGAGTCAGATCAGGTGGAAACATCCACCAGTCTCTATGGGGGCTAGCAGGTAAATCCTGCTCAAGATTATGCTATTTTCACATGGTTGTGGTATTCATTGTTGTTGTGCTGGTGTGCTTTGTGTCAAAGAATAAAATGTCCTTGAGCTGCTCAGAAGAGATGCTACTTGAGGACAGACATCCCTTCACTTGGTTCCGTGGTGCTTGTTCTCCCCGCCAGGCACAAGCATCTACATCCAGGCCCAAGAGCAAGCCTGTAGGGGAAGTTCAGCTAAGAGAATCTGGTTTGCAAAGCTGTCTTATCCAGGACTCCAGCTGGGGTGTCTGCCAAGGTGGAACAGATGTTGAACCGAGAAACCTTGTAGGACACAGTGCTGGAGCTCTTCTTCTTGCGGTAGAAGTAACTGCTGAGGTGGAAGCGGAACTTGTCATGGAGAGAGGCATAGATGAAGGGGTTGTAGCAGGCAGAGCTCATGGCAATCAGGTGGCATGAGACCTGGATGACGTTCACATATCTCTTGTCCAGGATGGTGAACTCTTCGTCAATGTCTCTGATAAAGTTGACGACCTGGAGGGGCAGCCAGCAGACAGCAAAGCAAACTACAGAGACGGTGAGCACCCGGAAGGTCTTCTGCTTCATTTTGCTCCACTTGTCTTGGCACAGGTAGGCAGCTCCTGGGATGTTCCTCTTCTGCAGGTGGTGGGAGATGGCACAGAAGGAGACCGATACTGCCAGCAGCGGGAGCATGTAGGACAAGAGGAGCATCAGACATGAGTACAGCAGCCGCTCCCTCTCCTTGTGCTTCCAAAACTCCTCGCAGATGATCATGTCATGGCCAATGGTGTTGAGATCCAAGTATTGCATGTGCAGCGAGGTGGGAACCGAGGCCAGGATGGAGAGAAGCCAGATGCAGGCCATGATGCAGACACAGGATTTGTAGCTTATCCTTCGGCGGATGGGGTAGGCCACGACGATGTAGCGGTCAATGGCGATGGCGGTGAGGGACAGCACCGAGACAAACACGGTGGTGGCCTGCATCAGGGTGACAAAGTAGCACATGAACATCCCAAAAAGCCAACCCCGCACCTCGAAGGCATAGGAGACAGTCAGAGGGACACAGGCCAGGCACATGACAAAGTCAGCCGCTGCCAGGTTGCCAATGAGGAAATTGGTGGTGCAGTGCAGCTTTTTGGTGAGAGCGATGAGGAGAATGAGGAAGAGGTTCCCCAAACACGCCACAGCCACCAGGGTGGCGTAGAGAGGGATGAAGAGCGGCTTAAGCTCCAGCAAGAGGTCGAGACCAGTGAAGAGAGGGGCTGAGGTGTTCTGCCAGGAGTCATTGGAGAGTGCCATGGAAAGGGCTCAGCAAGGCAGGGGCCCAACAAGGCTTGACCCTGAAGAGGAGAGAGACTCACTGTGGTTGTGCTTCTGGGCAGAAAGACCAGTCCCCAGTGTCTAATTCCACAAGGTTTAGGTCTCTGTAGTTGCATACCGAAGCTTTGGTGTGGAAAAAACAGGGAGCATGGCTAGGAAGTGGTTAACTGAACAGTCTTCCTGCTGCTGTGAGCTGTCTGCTAGGGAAAGCAGCTCGGGATGTGAGATTGAAAGTAACCTGAGCTGACACGCAGCAGGGAAATAAAGGCACCCGTATTTCTTCTTGCTCCCAGTGTCTCGCTGTCAGCCTTGTTCTCTGCCTCCAGCCACACAGCTGGACAGCTGGGCAGGAGTGTTCAACACATCCCAGCCCACCCAACTTTTCCCCTACCATTACTTCATCCCCTTGGATATTTACTTCTCCACAATGCTTTCCAGAGGAAAACCTGTGCACTGCCTTCCCATCACTGAGCCAACTCGGCACCCCATTCACTCCCATCCCCATCCTCCCTCTCTCTCTTTCCCCACCAGTTTGGCTTGTTACCTGCAGCACTTGGTCCTTCTTAGAGTGTGTGGAAGCTGTCCTCAGAACAGCCACAGAGCTCCTGGCAGCAGCAGAACTGGGTGCAGATCTGTTTTGGCTGAAAGTGCAGGGAAAAGCAGAATTACCCACGCTGTCACATTTACCTTTGTTCCCCAGGCTGAACAGCCTCCTTACCCCTTATTAGTTAACTCCCAGAGTTTACTGAGAGATATTTTTTCTGCGTTGTGCTATAATTAAAGTAGCTTCAGGTCTGTGCATCCAGCCCTGGAAACCAAAAATCTGGATGGAAACAAGAAGCAAATATGATCACTGAATTTCCATATTTCAGTTTTTCCATCTTTCCATCCAGCATCAATATGTATATATATATTTGTTTCCTTAAGGAAGCAGGACTCCCTCTGTGGAGCACACTCACCACCCGTAGTCTGCCTGGAGCTTGCCTAGCTCCGAGAGAGCTCCAAGATCCTTCTGCTCGCTGATTGTTTCAAAAAGGATAGGGAAATGCATCTCATTCACCAGCTGTTGCTCACCGCAAGTCCTCTCGTTGCTGCAATCCTTGCTCTCATTCCTTATTGTTGCTGTGATGCCTGAGTGCTGTGATTAAAAGCTGGGGAGGAGCATGGCATTCCCACCCGCAGGGTGGGTATTCCTGCTATGTATGGGGATGGTCATGTTTGTCCCGCTGTTCTGCAGTAAGGTCTCTTCACTGAGTTGGGGAGAATGGAGAGTGTGGGCACAGGGACCATGTGAAGGTCCTTGGCTGCTCTGCCTGAGGGAGGATGATGAGGGTGGTTGTGGGGCAGGGGGGATGGATGTCCAGCTCTGGGATAATGGACACTCAAACTTGGGGTGAGTGTGGTCCTGCCATGGGGTGAAGGATAGCCAAACTGTAGGTCAGTGAATGGCCAAATATCAGGTGATGGATACCCAACACCCAACCATGGTGTGAGGATAGATATTGTTGCAGAAATGAGATCTCTGGGAAACCCTTTGTCCATCTCAGTGCCCTTCCCATTGCGCCGGGGCTAAGGTCAAGATCTTGTAGCGATGCCATTGAGATACAGTGGTGTAATGAAATGCTGCACAGCACCTGCAAAATACTAGTAACTGTTGAATGCTGAAGCATATGCAAGTGCTACTACTGTTTTGGGGCTGCATCTCTTCTTTGTTAAAATCTCTCTTCATTTTTCCCTTCATTCTGGTCCCATCTTGTAGCAGCCAGAGAGGGCTTTCCCACTTGGAAGTGAAAATGCACTTTGGAAATGATTCCCAGATGATTTCATCCTGGTGAACTGATGTATGGACCAAGATTTTAGAAACATGTAGAGAGATTCTAGGGCTGGGAAAGAATTAACCTTAGTGGCTGTTGATCAATGTGTTGTAGTTAAGCCATACGATCTTGATTTCAGTTACGAGATCAAATTCATAGCTAAGGAGTTCCAATGAGATCTGAGAGGCTGCCAAGTGGCGAAGAATCCTATCAATGTCCATTGACTGCTGTAACTGTTTCCCTTTCATTATGCAATAGCACTATGACCAACTTGGTGGTAATGAGCTGAAGTTAAAGCCAGGGACCATTGAGCTGTTGACCTCAAGGGCTGATGTTTGGCTAGAGCTGATTGGTGACCATGAGCTTTGGTTTCATGCAGCATGGGGATCCCATAGTGATGGACCAGAAAGGGGGAGGTTTGGGGAGCTCAAAATGTGCTCCAAAATCACCTCATTACACAGATACCTGTCTCTGTGCTACCAACAGATTTCAGCAGCAAATTTGGATAAGAACATCCAAGTGACCTGACTGACTTCTCTTGGGAATGGCAGGAAGAGATGGCCAAGGGGATTTGTATTTGTGGCTTTGGACTTAAATCCTCTTTGCTGCTGGGGTTAATTTTATAGTCTCCCAAACTGGACTAAAAGCAGAAAATACGTGGGAGTTCAGCCAAAACCTCAGTGGGTCTCCAATGGTTTTGATGACTCAGTGTAGGTTGGGGGGTTATGGAATGACACACCAATCCCCATGCACTCCACAATTAGGAAGTGCAGGGTATCAGAGCTGCTTGTTTAACATGGTTGGGTATCTGGCTGCCAGATCCAAAGCAGGTTACTGCCCATCAGCTCTGTGTCTGATTTCTTATGAAAGATCTTTTCACCTTCATGTTTTATTTAATTAAGGGAAAATTAAAAGATCATCATCATCCGCTGCTAGAATTTAATTTTTATTTATTTGTTTGTTTGTTTTTTTATTTTTTGTAGGAATGGAAATTCTCAGAGCAGTCCCAGGAGAAGTTCAACCAAATTAGGACTTTTGGTGGGAGAAGGCTGTAAATTTGCCTCTGTCTGATGAATGTGGATCAGTGCTATTGAAACTGGCTAAGAGCTGGCTGTAAAGAGGGGCACTCATCCCGCCAAACACTCAGCAGGAAGAAAATAATCTCTGCTTCCATAGCCTGGCCGGGAGCAGCCGTTAATTTTAAAGTGCAGAACATTCTGATAAGGAAAGCAGAAGGCTCTTAAAAGATCATTTTAGATGAGAGATGCGGCTTCAACATGATAGAAAATAATGAATTACTGCTGGCTGGGATGGACACATCCACCCCATGCTGGCCAAGGCTTTACCCCACACATCCTTACCCTGGAAGAGCCTTCTCTGACCTAATCTTTATCACTTTCATAGAGCTGTAGGATAAATCCCTCATCCCAGGTCTCGTATTTCCCCTTGCCAGGAATTTTTGGCTCTGATTGGATACAAGAGGTCAGGCTAGTAGGTTCAGAGGTGAGTTTGGAAGCCGCAGTCCTCATCCTCAATCCTCATCCACCAATCGGCAGTGCTTTTTGGAGCATCAGTTTTGGGGTGTCTGCAATGACATCCCTGTGCCCAACCTACCCTGCATGGTTGATGACAGGGAACACAGTTTGCTGTGGCTTCCATCCCCTTTTTAGGATGAATGTTGTCATCTCTTAGAAATATTTGTGGGTGCCAGGAGTTCAGCATCTGTTAGCAGAGATTACCCAAACTCACTTCTGGAAATGTCCATCCTGGCCACCTTTCCTACAGAATGGCCATCACAGCGTGGACTGTGGCAGTACTCTTAACTCAAAATCCTAGATGGCCTGCCCACTAAAGAGGAGCGGAATATTCTTATACTTACTTATACTTACTCATTATACTTACTTTTATACTTACTCATGCTTTGGCTTGATGTCATCTCTTTAAGCACATTGTGAACCACCTCTTTTCCCTGTATTAGTGCATAGGAGCTCTTGGAAAATTTTGGAGTTTAGAGAAATGTCCTTTCATGCTGAGAACTGTCATTAAAAGGCACAGATAAGAAGGGCTAACATGTGATTAGTAGTTTCTCACACTCTAACAATGACAATCCATGTTTGATAGTATGTATATGCTTGTGCGTAGTAGTCTGAACACACTGCATTCAAACCGTATCACTGATGGTTTGCTTTCCTCTATCACAGTGCTGTTATCAGCAGCTCTTCCTTTGTTGCTGTTGTTGCTGTTTAGATGGGCACATCCCCCAGTGTGTGAATTATTGCCACCAATAAGAAGGCAGGTGTTGCTGTGTAAGGAAAAAAAATCCTTAATAGAAATGTTGCTCACACCAGCGAGGCTTTGTTTGGGAGCTCAACAGCTTTCTTTTCCTATTATAAACCATAACAGCTCCAAGTAATGTTCTCATCAGTGAAATCACACATAACATCAACAAATGCACACATCACACCTTTTCCATATATTCTGTTTAAGCTATATTGTAAAAAAACAGTCTTAGAGTATGAGTTTTTAAGTATAGATAATCCCAAATCTGATTCCCTTTAGGTCAGTATTTCCAAAGTGTGGTTTATCTGGCAGCTCCCAGCATGTGTTCTTCCAAACACTGTAGTGCCTTCAGTGGATGCTGTCTCTTTCCCTGAGCAATAAAGGATTTGGCTACTCAGGTGTCAATATTTATATGTAGTCAAAGTTTAAAACTAGATTGTTTGTGTACTTACAGAATCTTTAAACTCCTCATTTGTCTTTTTCAGTCCTAATGTTTACATCCCCATTGAGTCAGACAACCTTCAGAGCAAGCCTGCAGACTGATGGGGCTGGACTCATTGCTTGATTTGGATGTGGTCTCCAATTAAATGCCAATCTATTATCGCTTATGTTTTGGCAGGTCTAAGTCTCTGCTGAAAAGACAATGCTGCACTGCTTCAGGACCTAATTTACTGTCTTGTGCTGACAGTATCAATCAACAGCCACAAACAGAAAACTTGTGTTTCTTCCTGCATGATAATGTAACAAAACCATACTGCATAGTTCTCTGCCAGCTTTCTTAGCCATGCCAAAACCGGTGAGTGGAGCTGATATGACACTGCAGAGCCATTACATGGATCTGGGACTTTAAATGTTTTGGTACAGTTATTATGAATACATTTCTAGCTCAAATAACTTTAATGGCAATAGACAACATAATATAAAGCATCTTCACTCACTGCTAATGGCAAGAAAGAAATGTATTGACTGCAAAATAGCTTGGGTTCACATAAAGAAATTGCATCTTTCTCTCAGCACATTCAATTTCTGATGAATGCTCAGACATGCCTTCATTATAGCTTGACAGCACAGGTGAGAGATGGCATTTACAGCGCTGTATCTGAATACAGCAAAGCAGAATTATTTTTAGAGATAAATGAATAGAGGCATTTGAAAGATGACAAAGGAATCCTTTTCAACAACACCAAAGCTTTGTGAGCCTTGTATCATTGACATTCAGGTGACTCACCATGTTTCTCAAATGTTCACATTTGTTCTAATGGAGAATTACGTGTGACTGCTTTAGAGAATGGTGAGGCTGCAGTGGGTGGTTATGGCACAAAGCTAATGGTGTGGACAAACACCCAGTCACGACACTGAAGAAGCAGCAACAGAATAACAGCCAGCAGTGAATGAAACAGCACATTTATAACTAACAGAGATAGGAAACAGTGAACGTGATAAGCTCCTTTTAAAAGTGTAATTTCATACACAATGAACAATCTAATGTGCTTAAGCTACTAGAACTACCCCTCCAATTTCCCTGGTAAGAGCTTTCTTTATCTGACAGAAGATGTACACTGCTTCCCTCTATCGACCTTTAACGTCAACGTTGTTTTATCTGTTCTATTCTAGACCATTATGTTTTCTGATGCTTCTGAACAACTGCTACAGTTCAATATGCCTCCTGATGAGTTACAAACAATTCACATTCATGCCAGAATGATTTGGTTGCTAACACATTGGGACTACATCAAAAAAGGGTTTCAGTTCAGCATATTCTGTTCCACTCTTGTCCACAAAAAATGCCAGTCAATATCCTTGGAGGTCCAGTGCTGTTTTCTTGTTGGATTTCATTTCATTGTCTTTAAATGACTGACAATTGGCACTCATTACCCACCCCCACCCTCTTCCTAGCATTACTGTTGCTGCACACAGCTTCATCAGGGTTGGACAAGAGACAGCTCTGTGGCATGGTTGCTGCATATCTCACTGCTCAGCAGCTGGATGCTCTTCTTCAGTCTCCTGTTTCTCTACCTGTGATTCTGGAGGGATGAGGTACTGTACCTCTTCAGTGTTGATGGCCACTTTATCAGGTTGCAGCCATCGCTTTAGATGCTCCAGGGTGCTGAGAGAAAGCAAAGACACAACAAAAGATAAGACAAGTAATAAAGCTTCACAAGGTATGATTTAGACTGACTAGGGAAGGTTAAGGGGGAAATATAGGCAGTACACCTACATCCTAGAATGCTAACAATACTACAGAAATACATAAATATATACTAATATACTTAATCTCTTACAGTCGATTTCACAATAGCTGGTCTCATGGAAAAGACCAATTCTGTCTTCATTTAAATGTTGACTAAAACTTAATATAACTCTGAAATGTGTGCATATGCTCATCTGCCAAGAAGTGACACAATTCATTCAATCCTGGCATAACAAAATTAACTTGCTCTTGCTCTTCTACAATAGCGGAAATTTCGGTACTGTCCTTGAGATTGTTTGTGCACTTAAAAGTTAAGGTTTGCTTAATTACACTGCTGGATGAGCTTCAAATAGCTCAGTACCATTTAAGGGTGACCTCTAACTTCATTTAGTCGAAGTCTAGCAATGAAAACATTTTCACGGCTAATGTCCCCAGCCTTTAAAAACAGAGTAGAGAGAACACCTCTGTCTACAACTTGCTTTTAAATATAAATCAAGTTAACTGTCAAAGAAAGAATCTAAGACCTATTGTAAACATAAATTATTTTTCATACTTGAACTCCAAAATGAGCTTAAGTAGATTTTTCTTAAGGGAGAAAGATAATCTTTTTTTTTTCCAAATAGAAGCAATCATGAAAAATGTCAGCTCAGAAAAGAGAAATATAGAGACCATCATAAGTAAATGAGAATGTAGATTGCTTTAGCGTATAGGAAGGGACTCTCATCTTAATTCATACATCATCTACAAAAGAGTAATGGGTAAGAGAGGAAGCATTGTAAGAGAGGCACTGAACTGAGAATCATGAAATCAAATTTCAGATCTGATATCAACCCTGGAAAGTGCTTCAAATCCCACTTGTTTCTGAAGCAGTGTTTGTCTAGGCCCTCACAAAGATGCAGGGAATGGTATGAAGTTCACTGTTAAAAGCTAACCCTTAAAAAAGGGAATTTGAGACCCATTAAGACACTTCCCCCCTACCCCAAGTGCGACAAAGGAAATTGTCAAGTAGGTTCCAGTTGTTTCCTTACTGGATCACCTAGGTAAGAGGAATGCAAAAAAAAAAAAAAAAAAAAAAAAAATTCAGTACACAGCTTTGAAAGTTCAGTCCATACATGTCCCATGTGTCCCTCTAGTGTGACCCAACTGGCATTACCAAAGCTGCTCAGAAAGCCTGTGTCAGTCTAGCAAATGTGCAGTGAGACCTTCTGTCACAATGTCCTATTGCAAGTTGCAACAATTCCTTATTGATCTGCTTATTACCTCTCATCAGATTCATGTCCCTCTATGTAAATTTCAGACTCAAACTTCTCCTGGAGGAACCTGTCCCAGCATTCCTTCTTAGCTTGTGACAGAGTACGTAGCATGTCCTTGGAGGTCACCTCTTCAGACAAACCTTTAATTCTCATCAGCTTTCTCTCTGTGAAGAGGCAAATCAGAGCTCTTTATTACATTTTTCTGAGGGAAAGGAGGAAAAAAACCCACAAGTGTCTGCACTTCGATATCAAAAAGGTCAAATTAACATTTCAGTACTTAGTCTTCATTAAGTAACTTTTTTCTTGCATTTGAAGTCTTCATGACAGTATTTCCTCCATGTAATTTTAGGTGACTCTTCAGAAGGAAACAAAGTGTAAGCAATCAGTCCACTTTGCCCACTTCTTAGCTTTAATGACTTTTCCACTTACCACTGAGTTTTGATGAAATTGCACAGAAGAGTACTGATCTCAAATGCACTGTGTTCCCACAATTTCCACGCAAATTGGCATGGAATAGAAATCACATTAACTGTAGTATGAAATCCAAATAATGCCCAAACTGAGGGGGAAAAAACCGCAGTGAGCACAGCAGTATTATCAGTAGGATATCTCAGAACAGAACGTGATATTGTGAGTTTCTCAGCCACAGGCTACAATGAAAACAGTGTTCTTAGCAGACACAGGGTGATTCAGCCACAATACACAAAGCTGCAAGTAAGCAAATTTAATGAGTTTCTCCAGTCACAAAATCTCTTTATAACAGATTCTTTCTTAAATTGGGCCAGCTATTAACTTGTACTCACACTTTTTACAAAAAGGTGTATGATATGTTAGTTGAATTGCAGTAGCTCACAACAGAGCAGCTCTCCTATGACTCTTTTTGGAGCTCGCCCTGTGTTACAGAATTGAGCTGTCACTGGAAGTATCTGGCTCTAACAATTCTTAAGACCTGAAATATCATTATCTGCCCAAATATATTGACAGGCTGATGGTACCATTCCACAATTGCTAATCCTGGCCATGTAGAAAGCCACAACAACTTTATGCTTCTGCTGGCTTAACCAGAATACACAAAAGAAAGTTTATGCTGGAGTTATGCTTTCATCCTGACTGTATGAAAACAAGTACAGACCTAGTCTGAAGCCTGCTTGTGAAAATTTATCCATTAGCATTTTCTGAGCACATTAGAACTGCAGCAGCAATTAATACTAGAAGAGCAAATTCTGTCTTGCTGCTATGTCACCTTTGATCAGATACCAAAACCTGTACTTAGACTGTTGTTTCACGGAAAGCTAAACCAGTAGCAAAGTCAACATGGAGGCTCTGGCAGAAATAAAAGCTTAAAATCCACTTCTGCCACACCATCCTCATTTCTCCTGGCCTGTTTCTGCATGCAGAAACGTCATACATAAGCCAAGCACATGTGTGGCTGCACTGAGAACCAGATTATAAACTGACCCAAAATAAAAATAACTCCACAGAAAGGAAAAAGCAGAAAAGAGCCACACTGAATATTTCACTATGACTGGATGAGTAGCAGCTGAACTGTTAGAGCACAGAGGAACCCCAAAGGCTTCTCCTAACAGGCAGCAGGAGCATCCTTCCTGGAACTGACTGCTGCTGTAGAACATGAAGAGATCAGGAAATATTTTAAAAAGGGTGGCTAATCCATGGCCTTAGAGATAATGACTGCTGCTTTTAGCTGTGCTAGGATGTTGACTTCCCTCATATCACATGTTTCTATTAGCTTTTACACAGCTAACGATCAATTTATGGTTTTATAGATTATGCAGGAATTAAGCAATAGCACTGAGATTATCTGTATAATCTCCCATATGTTAGAACAAAGATTCCAGCAAACGTTATTTAGAAAGCATCTTTCCTGATTCTGTCTCCCCCCAAAAATCAGGTCACAGAATTATTTGACTTTTTTTCTTTACACTCAGAAACATCTAATTATTTCTTGGAGCCTCAGGAGACAAATGCTGGCAATACACAAAGGCTTATAACAATTTCAAAACACGTTTCCCCTTCCCAAGTCAGCAACAATGGAAATACACTGCACCCTTCCAGAACTTGAGGGGAGCTTATGAGCAGGAGGGGGGCCAACTTTTTACACAGAGAAATAGTGACAGCACAAGGAGGAATGGCTTTAGACTAAAAGAGGGGAGGTGTAGCTTAGATGTTAGGAAGGAATTCTTTACTCAGAGGGTGGTGGGGCCCTGATACATGCTGCCCAAAGAGACTCTAAATGTTCAATCCCATTCCCATCCATCACGCCATCCTGATCAAGTCCCAAGATCTGATGGATGTCAATCCTGCCCACAGCAGGACATTGGAACTGGATGGGCTTTAAGGACACTTCCAAGCTAAGCCATTTTATTCTATGACAGGCTCCAGCTGTGTTTCTCAATTCCACTAATGCAATAACTGAGTGTGGAGCTCTGCTGAATACTTCTAAGCTGCAAAAACCAACCAAAGATGTGAGCAGCGCCCCCTCTGATGCCACAGTTGTCAGCAGGCACCTCAGCCTACCCAAAGCCTTACCCAACACTCACCTAGGGATGCTAAATACACCTCTGAGTCATTCAGGGGCGCCCAGGGCTTTGGGTTTGGTTGGGAAGGGACCCCATTGCCCTGGCTTCCTCCGTTTTTGTAGGAATCCAGGAATGAATCAGTGAAGGCCTCGCTGGCATCCTTCTGGTCTGGATGTGGCAGACACGAGCAGATTTCAGCCCAGAGGTCCTCACTGGGCCTGATGACCATGGAGTTGATGCTCTCAATCGTTCTCATCATGAAGGCCTGCAGGGAAGGTACAAGTGGCACACAGTGAGAACGACTCAGTGTCTCTCTGCCTCTCACCAGCCACTGCCTTTTACCCAAACCACCCCAGTGGAGCGCTGAGGGACATCTCATAGCTCCTCCGGAGCCTCCCCTCACAACGCAACACTTACACCCTTCAGGGCCCGAAGAGCCTCTCACGGTGTTAGGCCGCAGTGTTCCGGCACCCCCTCGACTCCTGTCACCACAGCTCTCCGGGACGTGGTTGTTCGGGTCACAGCAGAGCCGCTCCAACCGTCCCCCCGCGCCTCAGCACCACTAACACGGGAAGTCACAGCGACTTCTGGCAGAGCGCCGATTGGCACCTGAGCTCAGCCAATCACCACGCTCCGACCTCTGATTTTAACCAGTCACCGCGCTCTGCCGGAAGCAAGGGGGGCAGGGAATAGGTTGGAGGCTTGAGGGTAGAGTGACGCTACTTTGGCGCCATCTTGGAAAAGGGCGGAAGTTTTCCCGCTAAACAGTCACGGCCTGACAGGGAAGGGGCGGGAATAAGCTGGAGGCTTGAGGGGAGAGTGACGCCGCTGCGGCGCCATCTTGACAAAGGGCGGAAGTTTTCTTACGCAGCTCAGGCGAGGAAGCTGTTACACTTGGCAACGGGCAGCGGGGCACGGTGCGGCTGCGCGGTGAGTGCTGGTACGGCGGGGAGCTGCAGGGGTGGGGGCAGGAGTTGAAAGTAAGACAAGGTTGAGCTGTGGGGTGCTCCCGTTGTTAGGCCGGCCGTGGGATGAGTCGCCTGCTGCCCTGTGTGACGTTGGCACTGATGGGATTGCTGTTCTCTAGAAGCATGGCCTGGACCTCCAGCGGGAAGACGCACCCCGAGCTGGTCAACAACCTCTATAGTGAGTGCAGAGCGTGTGCTCGGGGCTGTCTGTGGGTATTCTGGGTGGGTTGGTGGTTGGTCTTCGACTTGCTACTGTGCATTTAAGCCCTGTTTTTGTTTTTGTCTGTATTCCAGAAAAAGGAATCATTAAATCCCAGCGAGTCTTTGACGTGTTGCTAGCTACTGACAGAGGGCACTACATCAAATATTTCCCATACATGGATTCCCCTCAATCTATTGGTGAGCAGCTTGCAGTATCACCGTTTGTATGGTGTTCGTGCTGATTGAGCTAGGCACGATGGTAGAGAGGGGCTTGAGGTCGCTCTGAGTTCTGTGTGCTGGCAGCACTCTCACCAAAGCAGTGGGTGAGTTTTTAAGAAGAGCAGCTCTCATCTGTATTTCAACAGTGGGATCCAGAGGAAGGAACAGTATAGTCTGTTCAAAATGTGTGTTGTTTGCTCTGAATTTGACTTGTGGAATAGAAACAAGCACAGCCTGTGATAGTTGCAGAGCATTCTGATGAATGAGTTGAGGGTAGAAGTTGGAATAGTTGAGAACTGAAACAGTGGAAAGCTATTTTGGTCTCATTAGTTATCCTACAGATTATGAGCCAATGAAGTGCTTTAATGAGGCAAAAGAAAAATGTTTTCATGTTTTTAGGGAATGGGGAGAGAATTATTTGAACCTTTTCACTGTTGCTTCTTTGTCACATAATTTTTGTCACCTGGCTTCCTTTTAGGATACAAGGCTACAATCAGTGCACCACATATGGTGAGATAAAACTTTCCACTTTTACCAGAAATTAAGGGAATTGTTTGTACCTCCTCTTTTTTTTTTTTTTTTTTCCATCCAATTTTACTTAATTACTAGAGCAGAAAGGTGAAAAAGGTCCCATGGGCATGGTATCAAGACTGTTTCTTTAAGTACTATATATGTGGAATTTTTTAATGTTGACTTAAAAGTATGTTCTGGTAGAAATTCCATGTAACTAAGGCTAACTGTTAGCACTGTCCAGTTGTTGCATGAGATTGCTCTTTTTGTTGCTTCATGTATTATTGCTGAACCTTTTCCTAAATGCTATTCTGTAAAAAAGACGTCAAAGATGAAACACTTCACTCACTCAGCATGTGTCAGACAAAATGCTTGCTGTGCTGTGTTTAAAGCAGAGCACCAAATGCGTGAAACAACATAATGAAAAGTTATAGGAGAAAGAAAGTAGAATGTGATGTTTCACGCTCCTGTGTTTGTACCCACGCAGCATGCCCATGCACTGGAACTGCTGAAGGATCAGCTTGTGGAAGGTGCGAAAGCACTGGATGTTGGATCTGGAAGTGGATATCTCACAGCTTGCTTTGCCAGGATGGTAAGTTCAAATGACTGCATTCCTAGCAAGCAAGGTACCCCAGGACAGGTAGCTTGCTATAGCTGGCATGGAAAGCAGAGGGAAGGAGTGAACTCTTCCTAAGCTAGCTTGTAGTAGTGACAAATACAATAATTTCCAGAGTGCATATTGTATCTGCTAATGTAACTGGGACTATTCAGCCTTAAAACCATCATGCCACAGTGTTTGCACCTTCTTGTTCTGAAACTGCTCTTAAGATTCTTTTTGGAAATACTTCAGTCCCTACAGTAATAAAATGTGTTTCTGTACATACAGGATGTACAAAATATGTCTGTATTTCTATGTACTGGGAGGTCTATAGGTGTATGTTTGCTGTTTCCTTTTTAGGTAGGCCCAACAGGGAAAGCTGTGGGCATAGAACATATCAAAGAGCTGGTAAATGAATCCATCAGAAACGTCAAAGAAGATGATCCAACTTTGCTCAGTTCTGGCCGTGTAAAACTTGTGGGTGAGCTCTCTGGATGCCTGTCCTCTCCTGTGAACGTGCATTAGCTCTGGCTGTCAGCAGAGCTCTGCTTGTTGAAGCAATTGCTCCAGTTCATGTTGCTGCTTTCTACCTGTCGGTAGAAACCTCTTGCTAAATAAGCACAGTGTAATAGTGACTTGAACTCTAGGATATAAACAAATAGCATTCACTGCTGTGGGCAGTCTATCTTCTAAATGTCTTGTACCTATCTTATTCCAGAAAGAGATATTCTTTAGAGGAAAGTGGTTGTTCACATCCAGGATTTGGTTTATTTGAACAAGTCTGCACATATTTTTTGTTTCCCTTTGTTTTATTTTGATTTGTCAGCTCCTTCAGTGTCTGGAATCTCAAGACTCCACAAAACCACTGTGTTACTTAAAGGCCCTTCTGGCTTTGACAATTCTAGAAATCTCTCCTGGTTTTTAAAACGTAAACCCATGCTATGTTTTTAGCAGACCGGTCAGTGCTCTGATTTGGGATTTCAGATTGCAGTCTTGCTACAAAGTTTTCCTACTCTAGATTTCAATGGAAAGAATTTAGATTTTTGTGTGATGTCTGACCAAAAGTCATTTCTGCATGCTTATTCCTCCTGCAGTTGGAGATGGCAGGCAGGGGTACCCTGAAGAGGCTCCTTACGATGCCATCCATGTTGGAGCAGCAGCACCAAAAGTTCCACAGGAGGTAAGAGTGAATGAAACAGTTACATGCCTTCACTAGGAGCCACGATACAATTATTAATTAGAGAAACACTGGAACCTTCCTTTTCAGTCTGTTTTACCTACAGCTGGCAAGTGTGGCTGGCTTTTGTTGTGCTTTTTTTTTTTCTTCCTGATTTCTCTGCTTTCCAGTTGCTGAATGAACTGAAGCCAGGAGGACGGCTGATACTGCCTGTTGGTCCTGAAGGTGCAAACCAAGTTCTGATGCAATACGACAAAACCAGCGATGGGCAGATAATTGAAACACAGCTGATGGGTGTGATCTACGTTCCTCTGACAGATAAGGAAAAGCAGTGGCCTCGGTAAAGTTTTCTTCTCCCTTGAGCAGCGTTTCTCCTCCCAGCTCTCCTTGTGGGCTTGTTCTCCTTGACTGCTGGCTTTGCTGAGAGATCCTGGATTCCTGGCAGATGCTGTTTGTAAAAGTCAGAAGAAAGAAGCTTGGCTAGGAAAGCACAGCAGGAGAGTAGAATGCATTTTCTATTAGATAGGAATTGTAAACAGAAGACTTGAACCCTGTTGAATTCTGTCACTGAACTGAAGGCAAATGCATGGCAGTAACAGTTGTTTTCTTTGCCTCAGGGATGAATTTTGACAGATGGAAGGATATCTCTAAAGTCACCTCAGAAAGTTCATGAGTGGGACTTGTGGCTGTAGATGGTCTGTACGGTTTTGCTTTTTGAGTGGAAGCTGTATCAGTGGATGCACTTAGTGCTGCTTTAATGAGCTTGTTATGGAGGAATGGAGAAAAATTATGTTTCTCCAGCAGATGCTGTTGGAGGCAGTGTCTGGTTCCAGTGATTCGATCCAGATAATTCCAGATATGCTCTCTGTAAAGCTACAAATAACATCTATTGACAGAGAATTCCAAAAGCATACAGGCATACTTAAAACTTCACTAAAAATACTCTTTAATATTGACTGCTCTGCCTCATGTTTGGAGAAAAATAAGACACAATGCAATGACCCACCCTCATTTGTTCAAGTTTAATTTACAAGAGTGCGTCTTCCTGTTCTTCCACAACTTACTTAAAGCTGTGGTAGCAACACTGCAAATTTTGGGTTGAGAAAATCCTGTTTTGTTCTTCTTTGGGGTGGGCGAGGACAGGTGGGAAGGGTACCCACAGGAGCTGTTGCGGACTGGAGCTCAGCTCCGTGCCGCTCTTGCCGGGTTCCAGTGCGGAGCCTCGCGGCGGCGCCAAACTATGGGGGCGTGGCCTCGCGGCAGCGGCGTCCCGATTGGCTGCGCGGCGCTGCGTCACGCACTGCGCCCGGGGGCGCGCCGGAGCGCTGTGGGGAATGTGTCTGCGCTCCGCGCTGCGGAGCCGGGATAGGGGTGTGCGGTCGCTCTCTTTTCGTGGCGGCATGGCCGAGCCGGAACCCGGCCTCAAAGCCATAGTCGAGAATGTGGACGAGGAGAAGGAGACGGCGGCTCCAGCCCCAAAGAAACGGCGCTTGGCGGCCGGGGAGCGCTACGTGCCGCCGCCGCGGAAACTGAGGTCGGGGGTGAGCTTCAGCGCGGCTCACTTCGCCGAGACCTCGTATTATTTCGAGGGAGGGCTGCGCAAGGTGCGGCCCTACTACTACGACTTCCGCACTTACTGCAAAGGCCGCTGGGTGGGCCGCAGCCTCCTGCACGTCTTCAGCACCGAGTTCCGTGCTCAGCCCCTCGCCTACTACCGCGCTGCCGCCCGCGCGGGCCGCCTTCGCCTCAACGAGGAGCCCGTGCAGGACCTGGACGTCGTGCTGAAGGTGGGCGGCTCGGCTCCGGGCTGGGAACCGCCGGTGGTGGCATCTCGAGGGTAGCGAGTGTGGTGTGGGCACACCGTTAACCCGGCTTGGGAGATCGCAGCTGGGCCTTCCCGTCTAGCAGCGCCTCGGGCAGTGCGTGCTGGGGTGGCTC